GCTGAAATTCTGAAACAGAATAAAGCATAACCCTGTACTATTTACCACTATCAAGTAATTTATTTTATCATGTAAATCTTAAATCCTTCAATATTCACCCCAAAGAAGTTGTATGATTCTGAATATTTCAAAAGAAAACTGGCAGGGAAAGAGGAGACGATGAGAAACTAGAGAAATAAGGAAAGCGTTTTTCTTACACGAATTTCAGAAAAAAATTTAATTTATATAATTTTATTATATAATTATACTATTACTATTATTACTCAGTCTTTTATTATATTATCATAATTACTGTTATTATTATCTATAAAAGTTACCTCTATCCTTGGTAAATATGATAATTTTTGACTAAGAAAAAAATCCAGTGAAATAGACAATTCTTCATAAGTTTAAATGGTATTTTACATAATAAAATAAGCTCCTTCTTTTAAACATAAAATGATCTAAGATTTTTAAAAATTAGTTTCTCCCTTTAGTAGTTTCACAGGGCTGCCGTTACAAATTATCGTTAACTTGGTAGTTTCAAATGACAGAAATTTATGATTTATTTTTATGATTTATTGTCTTATAGTTTTGAAGGCCGGAGTGTGAAATTAAGGTGTTGGAAACCTTTGGAGGCTCTGAGGAGGGCTCTCTTCCATGCCTCTCTCCTTTTTTTTTTTTTGACAGAGAGAGAGACGGCGAGAGCTGGAAAACAAGCAGGGGGAATAGGAGAGGGAGAAGCAGGCTTCCCGCCGAGCACGGAGCCCGATGCGGGGCTCGATCCCAGGACCCCGGGATCATGACCTGAGCCGAAGGCAGACACTTAACGACTGAGCCACCCAGGCGCCTCTTCTTGCCTCTCTCCTAGCTTTTGGTGCCTGCTGGTTGTACTTGGTATTTATTCCTTAGCTTATGGCTGCCCTCCAGTTTCTGTCTTGGTCAGTCTTCTCTTGGCCTTTGCCTCTGTCTTTGTGTCTCAAATCTCTCTCACCTTCTTTCATGTGTCATTGGATTTAGGGAACACCTTAAATCCAGAATGATCTCATTTTGAGATCCTTAATTTCATTATTTCTGCAAAGACCCTATTTCCAAACAAGGTCACATTCACAAGTACCAGGCGTTAGGACTTGGACATATCTTTTTGGGGGACACAACTCAATCTGCTATCCTTCCTACTAAAAAATATTAAACACGTGTGAAGAACACTGGGAAGGAGCATATGCCACGTGGTTGCTTGCTTGGGTGGCCACGTGTCTCATCCAGCCATTGGGCCCAGCTTCCTGTTGGCTGCTCACTTCCAGCTGCTCTTGTGAATGGTGGGGGCGATGCAGAAACACCCTGAGTCTCGCGGATGGCCCAGGTGCAGCCTTTTCCCATTGTCCTCAACAAGCACCTACTGAGGGATGACCAGGAAAGGCTGCACTCTTCCCAAGTCTTGTTAATGCCCTACAAAGCCCAACCAATATAAAAAGAGAAGCCGCGCTGGAGTATTGTGTTCTATTTACCACCACGCTGAAAGTTTTATGGTGGATTTCCCCTATTTCCAGGACATTTTCCTTTAAAAAGTCATTAAAGATACTTTTCTCCCAGCATGGTTTTAATCTAAGTGCATTAGAAGTGCATGAAAACCCTGAGAGCTTAACATCACTAGGGTGACTAAAAGGGTGGGAGAGTCAGGGCCACTTCTGAAGAAAGCTTTGGAGTTTAACAGGATCATTAGACCCTGGAGGTTAAACTCAGGATGAGGCAGGCAGCAGGACAGCTTTTTTTACCCTGCTTCTTTCCTAATCAATTTAATTCTTGTGACTTTCTGCCTTGCAGCACTCAGAGCAATTTTTAAAAATATTTCATCTATATTTGACTGATAGCCATCTCTCTCTGTCATGTAACTTTTATGAAATGCCAGAGCTTAGCTTCTTAAATTACATTTTCTGTTGGCCTTGCCCATGACATAATTATAAGAATGTCTTTTCTTGATAAAAAAGCTACAGAAGAAAAAATGTTATCCACCTCTTTTTTTTTTAAGATTTTATTTATTTATTTGAGAGAGAGAGAATGAGAGAGAGCATGAGAGGGAAGAGGGTCAGAGGGAGAAGCAGACTCCCCGCTGAGCAGGGAGCCTGATGCGGGACTCGATTCCGGGACTCCAGGATCATGACCTGAGCCGAAGGCAGGTGCTTAACCAACTGAGCCACCCAGGCACCCTAACCACCACTTTTCTATCCTCAACACAGAAAGCCTACAAACACAGTAGCTGTTAGGATCCTGAGTTTTAAATAATCAAACATGAGACTCTAAAATGGGGGCCAGCAAACATTTTTCTGTAAAGGGCCTAATAGTAAACATCTTAGGCTTTGTAAGCCATAGGATATCTGTCACAACTACTCAGCTCTGCTACTGTAATGTGAAAACAGCCTTAGAGAATATTCAAAGAAATTAGTGTGGCCGTGTTCCAATAATACTTCATCTGCAGGGGCCGGCAGGGATCAGTACACAGATCATAGTTTGCTGACCTCTGGTCTAAAATATCAACCGGTTCTCCACGTTTCTACTATACAGATCTATCGATCTATCTATCAATAGATTGATAGATACCATATGGAAATACTAGGGAATTTAGCACAATTTCAGATTTTCTTTCATAATGTTGGAAACATTTTAGAAGTGTCTTTCATTCCCCATTATATACCAGAGCCTAGCATGGGGGTCTTTTGTTTAGTAGATACTCAAATTTTATTGAATGAATAGCAAATGAGTAAGGCTTACGTTTTCCTAGCATGCCAGCCTCTGCAGGGTGCCCACTATGCCTTGTCCAGCTCCAGTACACTTCAAATTTTTAGTTAAAATAACCCAAGTCCAATATGCCACAACACTGTATGAAACTTTTATATGGTGGGGCTCTCCTCTGTCTTTTTCTGTAGGAAATTTATGAGATCTGTACTTCTGCTATGGCTCAATAGAGCCAAAATACCTTTCTGTAGAAAGAGAATAGAGATCTATATGCATCATCCATACCTATCTCTATCTCTGTTAGCTGGCTCATTGATAGCAATGGCAATGATGAGACTCTGAAGCAACAGGGACCAAACAGCAGCATTTTATTGCCAGAAGCCAGGGGGTTACAATTACCATACCACCAGGGAAAGTTGAAGGGCACCCAAGTGGACTTGACCTGGAGGGAGATGTGGAGATGATTAAGAGAACATTATATCCCTAAAGGTAAAACAGATGACTAGCCAGTGAAGGTGTTACTTAATATATTAACCAGAAGAAGGCAAGAATATATATATATGAACAGCAGATTAAGGGTGGTAATCTCAATAGAAAGGCTTGATCTTTTGCCCACATACCAGAACTCAGCCAGTTTTCAGACCCAGAAACCACTGGCTGAAGAGGTGGCTAAGTCCACAGCAGGAAGAATTTTGAAATACCATGGCAAAAATATACTGTGTTAATTTCCCCAAGTTTCCTCAAAAGAGACTTATGATACTTACTTGAGAAAATACACACTATGGAAAGAGGAATATCCAAATATTTGGAAAGAGGAATATCCAAATACCAAATACCCTCAAAATCCTATATTGACTTATAGGATTTCAAAGCATCATGGTAGAGTGGAGGCATCCAGGGGCCAGGCTCTGAAATAAACAGAATCCCGGCCTAAGTCTGGCTCTCAGAAGGTCCAGTAAGTCTGTGGACCCATCCAGTGGTCAACTCTCTGGTCTCCAAATATATGATTGGAATTGACATGTTTCACTGTTGAGGGAACCCCACCTTGACTTCTTCTCATTCAAACCAAATGGGAGCTATCACAGTGGGGAAGGTGAAGTGAGAGCTTCTAAAACGGCACCTCTACACCCCAATCTCTATCCCCTATTCCTTTGCCAGTCCTGGCTAAGATGGTACATCAAAATCCACTGTATTTGGTGGTGATGATGGTGAGGAATGAATGCCACTCTAAAGGATCTTAAGAATGGTGGGGGCGGGAGGGGGGTGGTCCACATCACAGCTCCATTTAATTTACCAGTCTGACCATTGCAGAAACCAACTGAATCTCGGAGAATGAATGTAGGCTACTACAAACTCAAATAATCACCCCAATCGTGGCTGCTGTGCCAGTTACGTTATCTTTGCTGGAGCAGATTAATACGGCTTCAAGTACATGTTATGGCATTCTTGTCTATCCCAATAAGAAAAGATCAGAAAAAGGAATAGAAACTGCATTTACATGGTACAATATACATTTACAGGTTAGGGGCCTACATTACCTTCTGCTGTTATAATATGATCAGATGAGATCTGAGCTGTCTGGATATCCTACATATCATGTTGATCAGGAGGATGAGCAAGAATGGCTAGCGTACTGGAGGCACTGGCAAGACATATGCACTGCAGAGTATGGGAGTTTAAGTTGGTGACAATTCAGTGAACTTCCACAGTTTTATTTAGGGATCCAGCTGGGTCAAGGGCCAGTGAGGACATTTTTTCCAAAAGACAAATTGCTGCATCTTGCCTTTGTACCAGAAAGAAGGAAATAAAATTCCTGGTAGGATCCTTTGGTTTATGGTGGCAACATATTCCACATCTAGGAATGTGCTCCAGCCCATATACTGGGTGACAGGAATAGCTCCCTGCTTTGAATGAGGCCTGGAGCAGAAAGTCAGAATTACAGTACAAGCAGCCCTGCCTCTTGGGCCATATGATCTGGCAAACCCTAAGGCACTGGAGGTATTAGTGATGGGAAAATACGCAGTGTGGCAGAGAGATGAATCCACAGTGGAAGCATCATAACACAGATCCCTGGGGTTTCGGAGCAAGACCATGCCACCTGCAACAGAAACTTATACGCTTTTGAGAAGAGTTCCTGGTGTGTTACTGGGGACTAGTAGAGACAGAATTCTTGATTATAAGACACCAAGTAGCCATGCGTCTGGAACTGTCCATTATGATCTGGGTTCTGTCAGACCCACAGAGTCATAGACTCAGGAAGGCCCAGCATTCCAAAATAAGATCAAAATTGTGCATCTGGGATTAAGGCTAAGCAAGACCAGAATATATGAAGTAACTGCATGAGCAGGTAGCCCAGCTCCTCATGTCACCCACCACGGGTGTACTAGCACCCCTCCCTCAGATCATTCTTCGACTTTGGGGGGTGCTCATGTAACCAGCTGAAGGAGTAAGAAGAGCTTGAACATGTTTTATGGGCAAGTCAGCTTAGTGTGTGGACGCAAGTTAAAAACAGGCAGTGGCTTTGGGTGCCTGGGTGGCTCAGATGGTTGAGCGTCTGCCTTCTGCTCAGGTCATGATCCCAGGGTCCTGGGATCGAGTCCCGCATCAGGCTCCCTGCTCCTTGGGAGCCTGCTTCTCCCTCTGCCTCTCTCTCTCTCTCTGTCTCTCATGAATAAATAAATAAAATCTTAAAAAAAAAAATTAAAAAAAAAACAGGCAGTGGTTTAATTACCCTCAGGGTGGGAGGGGGTTTGAAAACAGTGGTGAGGAAAAATCGTCCCAATGGACAAAGCTCAGAGTGGTGCACCTGTTACTCATTTTGTGTGGAGGAAGCAGTGGGCTGAGGTGAGAATGAAGACATACGCATGGGTAGAGGGAATATTCTGATGGGCTGGTCAGGGTCTGGAAGGAAAAGGACTGAAAAACTGAAGACAAGGAAGTTTGGCATCGAGGAGTGTGGATGTACTTGAGGGAATGGGCATAGTGTGTGAAGCCTTCTGACTCACATAGTAACGGACACCAGAAAGCCTTCCTCACAGAATAAGTAGTGAGCAACCAAGCAGACACATGACTAGGCCAGTGCACATCAGCCAGTCTTTGAATTGACATGATGAGCACATGGACAGAGGAAGCACAGGGGCAGAGATAGAGGCCATGCCTGGTCTCTATTTTACTGATACTTTTCTGAAAGTCTAACCTGCCAGCAATAGAGACCAATACTGAGCTCCCAATATGACATCTTCTTCAAGGAGGTGATTTTCAATAGTTGATTTCCTTATGTTGGAGGATCAGTGTACATCTGACACATTTGACATTTTCTTAAAAAAAAATCCTAGGAATTTTAGTAACTTCAGTGCCTAATTTTAATATCTTTGTACCTTCAGTGGTGAGTCATTTACTGGCTTCAGCCTCATGCTATTCAATTGAGTGGGGATAACTATAAATTGTACACATTAATGTAAAAAAAAATCATAATGGTAAACCTCCTAACACATGAAAGGAAAGAATCAAACAAGCTATGGTATCTTTTTCAACCATAGTTGGAACATTAAATCAATGGTGTATGCAAAATTGCTCAGTCTCGTGTTGGGCATAAAATACTAAGTGCTCCATACGTGTTAGTTGAATAATTATCAGTAGGACCATTGGCCCCTGGATAAGTGCTTTTATAGATATTTATAGATATTGGAAATTTAACATTTTAATGGGAATTGTTAATAAAATGCTATTCTTTTCTGTCTTAAAATAATTTTCTAATTTCAGTTTTTCTTAGTAACTCTGTGTTAGCATATGGACATCAAGCATTGCCTAAAATTAACAATGACGTTCTCAGAGCTGATGGCATATATAAGGCTGTGCTTGTCTTTTAACCTTGGAAATCTCCTCTTCTCTAGTCGGTGTATTTCCTTTTATACTCCTTATCCTCTGTTCTGATTCTTTACAGATATCAGTGGACATCAGAGTGTTTCAGTTAAGATTGAAAGGAATAGAACCTAGCCTAAATTAAGGGGGATTTACTAAGAAGATATTTGGTGTTCTCATGGCAGTGATGACTCTCTAAGCTTATGGGAAATTGAGCTGACATCTGGAAAAGCATCAGTAACAAGGCTGTGTGTGTGTGTGTGTGTGTGTGTGAACACAATCTCTTTCCTTCCTTTTTTTTTTTTCTATGTTTCATTCTCTTGCTCAATATGTACCTGGCTTAAAATGATTGTTCTAGCCCTCACTAAATTTAACTTTTTAGTTCAAATGCCAAATACCATCTACGAAATCTTTCTGTTTTTTAGCTCAAATTACCAAGAATGAGAGTGTGATAAGATCTCTAAACAGCTGATAAATTGGCTTATTCTAGATCACCCTTGGTCAGAGAAAGAGAAACAAAGACCTGGAGTACAGGTGTCCTAGGGCATAAACATAGCTGCCTAGTTCCCCTTATGCATTGCTCTGTGTGTATGTGTGTGTGTGTGTGTGTGTGTGTGTGTCGCCGTTCTTAGGGAAGGAACTAGAATTTATAAACCTAGTTTTGGTCCTAAACTAGAGATGGAAAAATTATATCTGGTCCTCCCAAAAACTGTTTCCATTTTCATCTTGACCAGCTTACATTTGAGAGTTTTCCTGCTCTAGATAATATTAAGAAAAGATGACAAGGATTAGAGTTCCTAACCTTTCCCCCTGACTTTTCTGTACTATCCACCAAAATTGTATTAAAAACACTATTTCAGGCAACAATAACATACTCATCCTAATGATCTATTTTTCTTTAAGATCAATTTAGACAGAATGGTTGATCGACTCCAAGGAACATGGAAATCCATTTCTTGTGAAAATTTTGAAAAATATATGAAAGAGCTGGGTGAGCCATTTTTACCTGTATATCATAGCCAGTAAAAAGGGGAGATTTGATAGCACAGAAACTTGGTCTGTATGATCTCAGATTAATCTTGGGCCCCTCCCTCCAACAGAAACATAGAAACAATCACATAAAAATGATCAACATTGGTTCAGGACGTAGATATAGTTCTATGCAAAATTAGTTTGTAATTGACAGAATTCTTGCCCTCATGTAATTTACCATGGGTTTACATCGATAAAACACATAAGCATCATATACTAAATGGCAAATTATTTCCATAAATAATTTAAAGCAAAAAGTCATAATTATTTTTATTTATTTATTTTTATTTATTTATTTTTTTAAAGATTTTATTTATTTGACAGAGAGAGACACGGTGAGAGAGGGAACACAAGCAGGGGGAGTGGGAGAGGAAGAAGCAGTTTCCTGCGGAGCAGGGAGCCCAATGCAGGGCTTGATCCCAGGACCCTGGGATCACGACCTGAGCCTAAGGCAGACGCTTAACGACTGAGCCACCCAGGCGCCCCAGAATAGATCTTGTTTTCCAGCTGAGATGGCTGCTGGCCTTCCTTGGTGTCTGGGCACCACACTCCAATCTCTGCCCCTATTGTCACATTGCCTTCTCTTCTGTAGTCTAATCTCCCTCTTCCTTTTCTTATAAGGGAAGTTTCTTATAATGAAATTGTGATTACATTTAGGGTCCACATGGCTGATTAGCTCCCTATTTCAAGATCCTTGAGTTAACCATATCTACAAAATCCCCTTTGGCATATAAAGTGAAATTCACAGGTTCTAGGGATTAGGGTGTAAATATCTTTGGGAATCATCATCTAATACATCACAACTTGTTATCATGTTTCACAATATGAATTCATGAACCATATTAGAGTGTTTCTCCCATTTATCTTCTCTTAGAAATTTAACTTAAGTATTGTACATGTGATGCTATTTCTTTAGAAAATAGTCCTACATGTACTGCATAAAGCTGTGTGTGTAATAATGTTCACTATAGCGTTACTTGTAATTAGAAAATGTGGAAACAAACAACATGTCCATCAACAGGGAGAGAGATGAAATAAATATTAATATATACACTCTATAAAATATTATGTAGCAATGACAAAAATTTATATCTATGTGTACTGACACAGAAAATCTTTAAGATACAGAGATGGGGAAAAGTAAGTTGAATAACAATTGTTATAATAGAACATTTATATTTTAAAAAATTCTATATATAGTGGTGATGGTTGTATAATATTGTGAATGTACCTAATGCCACTTTTTTTTCTTTAAGATTTTATTTATTTGACAGAGAGAGACACAGTGAGAGAGGAGCACAAGCAGGGGGAGTGGGAGAGGGAGAAGCAGGCTTCCTGCCGAGCAGGGAGCTCGATGTGGGGCTCAAGCCCAGGACCCGGGATCATGACCCGAGCCGAGGGTAGACGCTTAACGACTGAGCCACCCAGGTGCCCCATACCTATTGCCACTTAATTGTATGCTTTAAAATGGTTAAAATGATAAATTTTATGTTATCTATATTTTAGCACAATAAAAAAATACATGATGGAAAAAACAAACTCTATATATGTACATATAAGAATATAAGTGAAGAGACAAAGATCTTAAATAATCCATGTCAAAGTATTTCATCTGTATAAATGAGTGCATTTTAAAAGAGGGAGATTTTTTTTTATTATGTTCAGTTAGCCAACATATAGTACATCATTAGTTTTTGATGTAGTGTTCAACGATTCATTGGTTGCATATAACACCCCATGCTCATCACAACATGTGCAAAGAGGGAGATATTTTATCAAAATAGGAGCTTTAATAAAATTTTCAAAGAGGTTCATGAACCAACAAGATCAATAACTACTGGGCTAAAGAAACCCGACAACCAGTAGCCAAAACTAGAGATTAATTTTTTTTCTGCAAAATATAACCTATTTTAACATAATGGTGGTGCTACTAGCTTCAGATATTTGAATTCATGCAGCATTAAATCTGCTTAACTCACAGACCTCCTAGTTAGTAAAGAATTACTCAGTGAACATGGGTTTCTAAAGCCAGCAACAGATTTAACTATGGTGTCCTTTCATCTGGCTTCCAGGAACAGGACGAGCCAGCAGGAAACTTGCCTGTCTGGCGAGACCCACTGTGACTGTCAGTACACAGGAAGATCTGATCACTATAAAAACCAAAAGCATCTTTAAAAATAATGAGATCTCCTTTAAACTCGGAGAAGAGTTTGAGGAAACCACACCAGGGGGCTATAAAACCAAGGTGAGGCCTTCAACACTCTTTTAGATACATTTCATAAGAATGTCAATTTGAAATCATTCTAAGTAAGTAAACAATTATAGCAAACACATCTAAAGTCTGTATTAGATAAACATTGGGCTAAAACCTAAATCTGAGGATCTTAAATTTTAATATACATACACATCTCCTGTGATGCTTGTGAAAAGTGCCTATTTGTAGGTCCCATCCTCACAGGCTCTGATGTCTGGGGTAGGCACCCGAAGTATTTCTATGTGTTTCTAACATTTCTTTTTCCTTTTTTTTTTTTAGTTAAAATTTTATTTTTATTTTTTTTCATATTCTCGAGGTAAAATTTTAAAAGAATACATAATTACATCATACATGCTAGATAAATGGGGTATTATTCTTTCTTCCCAGTTAAGGGTTATTTTAACAGCTGATTAGAGTGAAAAAAAAAGAGATGACACTCAGCAATAGGATAAGTCTTCCAGTCCAGTCTAATACTAGACTATGTATATGCAGAGTTTTTTTTTTAACATCTCTTAATTTTCAGGTTTATGTATTTCTAATATTTCTGATGCAGATGCTTAGCAGACGCATTTTGAGAATCATTTCCTTAGATTCTTCTCTCAGAAACAAAAGTTCTGCCTTCCTACTTTGTAGTTTTCTATGGATAAAGTTACAATGAATAAAACTTATATTAACCAGTACAGGTGAGGATGTGCCTCAGTAGCACATTAACCACAGGCCCCAGTGGCTTAACAGAATGGGAGTTGCTTTCTAACTTAGGATACATATTCAGCATTGTGGTGGGTTTGGAGAAGATTCTGTGCGTGCGGAGGACAGCGGGCAGGAAATGAGGGCATAGGTTATCTACCCCTCTTCATCTCTCAGGGAAAAGAGAGTTTTATTTATTCTTCAAGATAATATTATATTTTTATTCTTATAAAACTTTTCCTCCCTCTGAAGAATCAGCCAACAAATTTAGTGTTGACAAAGTCTTAAAATATAAATAAAACTGTAAACACCATTCTAAAACTACCTGAGAATATCACAACCGCTGAAAAGGATTTGGTCCTTGATAAAACATTAGTATTCAAATGTGACAGCCTGAGCTGAATTCCGTTTCGTCCGTTTTCAGAGTGTGGTAACCTTCGATAAGGACTCTTTGATTCAAGTTCAAGACTGGGATGGCAAAGAGAACACCATAAGGAGAAAGTTGGTGGATGGGAAAATGGTGGTGGTGAGTGAGCTGTTTGTCATTATTTTTTGCACCTGCTCCAACACCTGTATATAAAGTCATTCAAATAGCTTGTTATAAAATAATAGAAGTCAATGTAATTTTCTTTTTTCTTTGCTTTATAAGAATGGGGGAAGACATTGGCGGATAAATATAATAGATATAATATTTATGCATGATCATAAATATTATAAAATGCACATGGGTTGAGGAACTAAAACGCTAAAGAAAATTAAAAAGTTGTGTTGCCTAATTCTTTGACTTGCACATAAGCCAAAACAAGCACGTATTTGTGCAATGAAGATTTCAGCAGAGATTGTGGGTTGTTACTAATCCTTTGCTCCATACAAAGATTAATTTCTCACTGTTTTCCAGCTTAACACCAAACAAACACATGAAAAGGAAATTTAAACTAATACAAAGCTTAAGTGGTGTCTCCTTGGTGTATGGATGAGTTGACACAATTAAAAACTAACATTTCTGTGGCTACCGTGTTTGCATGTTTTCATATATTATTTACCTAATCCTCACAATGATTCTGTGAGGCAAGACTAATTAGCCTATTTAATAGTTGAGAAAACTGAGATTCAGCCACTGACTTACCTAAGGACATTACCTAAGAAAAACATGGTGCTGCTGGGATTAAAACCCAGGCTGGCTTAATTCCAAAGGATACTTTTTTGAGTCCATTCTGCTCCCTTTGAGGATGGTTTCTCAGGTCATCTTTCTCCCTTCTACACAATGGAGGGAAATATGCCAATGATTCTTCTTCCCAAACCCCCAGTTCCACTGAAATGAATAAAATGACAATTTTGGACATAATGTCAAATAGTTCTAAGGGAATATGTAAGAATTATGTGGAAGTAAAAAATAAAAAAACCTATCCTCATTTCTTAATGTAAGAATTTTTTGTCTTTCAACAATGAAGAGTACATTTACTTATAAAGTAATAAGTGGAAGACTAAGGATACTTGATTTTATTTCTACTTATAATGACATTAATCACCAAACAGATATGTTTTTAATTCACTAGGAAGAATACAGATTCAGAATTCAAAATGTGCATTTCCATCTCTGCCATTCAGTACTTCTGTGACTCTGGATGAGTCATTTATCCTCTCCAAGATGGAGTTTACTTGCCTTCAAAAATGTAGGACTGTCTTCATGGTTTTTTTGAGAGAATTAAATACCATCATGTATATATTAGTGCTCTAAAAACCATAAAATACTACATCAATGTAACTTAATGTTATTTGAAAAATGTAGGTTATATAAACTAGCAAAAATGCTTCACCATAGGCATTTAAAATGTTTTAACAGACTTCAAATTTTATACTATTTGCCTTGTTTTTTTGTATATACACACACATTACATATATACCATATATATGTATACCCACATATATCATATGTAACATGATTTGCCATTTTGTTAGCAAAATCAGCTAACAAATAGTTGGTATCTATAGTTGTCTACATAGATCTCTTTTCAAGATTTTTAAACAATGTGTGTATGGATAGTACTTAATTTGCATTGTTCTAAAATCAGTTTCACCAACAATACTGAATTGTCTCATCCTTCATTTGTCTTCTAGGAAAGTGCCGTGAACAATGTTATCTGCACTCGGACGTACGAGAGAGTACAAACTCAGTCTGAAACTCTTAAGCACCCCCAAACTGTGATCCAAACTGCTGAGGTTGTTTAAATAAAACTCCAAAGTAAAATGTTACAACTGTTAATATGGGAGAGACTGTGCACAAGCATTGGCAATTTTGTTTTGCTTACTTTATATGGCTGTATTATATAGTACCTTGGTATTGGGAGCTCTGGGAAACCACGTGATATATCCTGTTCAACTCAAGGCTGCTATAATTCACTCAGAAAGGCACTTCATGTTGATTTTTTTCTCATTAGGCATATTATGTCAATCCTTTATATTCAACATGATCTGCACTATATTGGGAAAATAGTATTAATTAAAAAAATCTTTTTGGGGTACCTGGGTGATGCAGTTGGTTGAGCATCTGACTCTTGGTTTCTGCTTAGGTCGTAATCTTGGGCTCGTGATTTCTGGGTCATGGAGTTGAGCCCCACATTGGGCTCTGTGCTCGGCGTGGAGTCGGCTTGAGATTCTCTCTCCCTCTGCCCCTCCCCACCATGTTCATGTGCATGCTCTCTCTCTCAAATAAATAAATAAATCTTTAAAAACAACAACAAAAAATTTTTTTTATAGGTGCTGGAGATATATCAGAAAACAAAACAGAAGAATCCATGCCCTGAGAGAGTTTACAATCAAAGGGCATTGGAGGCTGTTCGGAATGATTCATATTTCAGATTTAACTTATTATAGTATATGATGATTTGTATTTAGAAAGAATTTTGTCCTAAATGCTCAGAATTTTTAGTTTAATGTCGAAATTATTACATCACCCACTGATATAAATAGAACTCTATAAAGAAAAATTTTGTTATAAACTTCTATGCTAATTTCACTGAGCATTTTCTAACATAACCATTTATTTTGTGAGCCTCTCAGTGTTTTTTAATTCCTTGCACACCAGGGAAATTATCTAAAATTAGTAGTGTGCAACAATTTAAAATTAATAGGATGAGGACCATTGGAAGTACTAACTTAAGCATTTACCCATCTTAAAAGAATTGGTATGTAAGAAACTATTTTCTGTCTTATTGATAAAAATTTATGCTTAGATCAAACTTATAATTAAGGATTTTATTTATTTATTTGAGAGAGAGAGAATGAGAGATAGAGAGCACGAGAGGGAAGAGGGTCAGAGGGAGAAGCAGACTCCCTGCCGAGCAGGGAGCCCGAAGTGGGACTTGATCCCGGGACTCCAGGATAATGACCTGAGCCGAAAGCAGTCGCTTAACCAACTGAGCCACCCAGACGCCCCAAACTTATAATTAACAAAGAAGCTTCATTGGATCATAGTTTGCAGTTCCTTTTTTTTCTTTTTACCTTTTAACCCCCTTCATCCACTGGGAGAAATGGGTGAAGGGGGTCAAAAGGTAAAATATTAATTTTTTAATAAACTAGCTGGGACACTGTCTCACAGATTATACCTCAAATGTACGTGAACAAATAATGCACAGGTCTGGAACTAGAGCAATAACTGACAGTCTAATATATTAGCAAGCTATTTTTATAGAAAACACATACTACTACCATCACACTAAAAGCCAATGCAAAGGAGAATATTCTGTTTTATTAGCACCGAACCTTATGCAGTTTAGGACAGGGAGGAATTTCAGGAACTGCGTGGACTGATCACTTTATTGTGCAGATAGAGAGACAGGCCCAGAGGGATAAATTGTACATTTCCATAGCACCCTGATGGTTTTAGGAGGACCTGGAACCAGAATCCATGTTTCTGGATAATTCACCTCACAGCTGTTAACAAAGGGAATCAAGATAGAAAGAGGTTCACAGTGTACAATTACAGATCAATGTAACACTACATCGAACTAATGAAGAAACGAGCTTCCCTTTATTTATTTTTTTAAAGCTTTCATTATTTGTTTATTTGAGAGAGAGAGACAGAGCACCAGCAGGGGGAGGGGCAGAGAGAGGGGGAGAAGCAGATTCCCTGCTGAGCAGGGAACTTGATGGGGGGGCTTGAACCCAGGACCCTGAGCCAAAGGCTGACGCTTCACCAACTAAGCCCCCCAGGGGCCACTACCCTTTATGTTAAAACGTGTGGCAGGATGCCCAGCTTGGTCCAGGCGATGACATAGAGTTTGACTTTGGATTCGTGACCCGTTCACTGCTTATTTGTCTCAGTTGATATATTAGGGGATCTTGGAGCTCCAGTAGAAGTGCGAGAAGTGCTTGTTTATTTTTTGGTTACTGAAATGGTGAAGAAGACAATGGAAGGCATAGAAAAACATCCTCTGACTGCTTGGACTGGATAGAGAGGATCACAGGCTGAGGCCGAGGGTGCTATTTTCCCACCACCCAGTGGATGGCTGTGCACCTGAGCAGCCTGCTGCAGGGGCCCCGGGCCAGCATGTTGCACAGAAATTGGAAAGAAGCATTCTCCCCCCTGAAATGGAACCCAGTGCTGCTCTGATACCTGAAGGGTCAGTGGATATGGGAGCTTCACACACAGTGCTCTTGGTTTTGGTATGATGTTGTAATTCAGGATTTACTGCACATTCACCGTGTACCTGGCACTGCATGAGAATGGTGATCAAAGGAGAGCTAAGTCATGTTCCCTGCCCTTGACTGACTCGAAAGAGAAAAGATCTGTTAAAAAAGGATTACACTAGCACGTTCATCTCAGGAATTTATAAATAACAGATTAAAAACCAAATGCTTTCACCTAGAGAGGAAGATCTAATACCACTTTCTTGGTGGGTAGATAATTGCCTTGCCCAGGTGAGAAGAAAACCAGCAACAAGGGTGGCAGAAGCAGCAAGAGCGAGGACAACAGCCTGGCGAGGGAGGCACACATGGGCTCTAGTGCACACCTTATCAGGACGTCTGTCTTAGGGAGGCACACATGGGCTCTAGTGCACACCTTATCAGGACGTCTGTCTTAGGGAGTGCATCCCTCCATGCTGCAGCCTCCATGCACTTTGTACCCTTTCAGTTCAAGTTAGTAATCACTATTCAGGATATATAGGGAGTGTGAACTTATTCCTAGAGAGGCATAGCCTGTTCATCCTAAGCCAGGAGAAGTTTTTCATTTTTTCCTTTCTTTTTTTTTTGAGAGAGAGAGAGAGAGAAAGAGCGAGCGCACATGAGTGGGGGGTGGGGGGCAGAGGGAAAAGGAGAGAGAGAATCTGAAGCAGGCTCCATGCCCAGCACAGTGCCTGACACGGGGCTTGATCTTACAACCCTGAGCTCAGGACCTGAGCCGAAATCAAGAGTCATCCGCTTAACTGACTGAGCCACTCAGGTGCCCCAAGTTTGGGTTCTTAAATATCATATTCTTTGATTTAGATTTGGCCAAAATATTAGAATAGAAATCAGAAAACCACCTACTACAGAAAGGGAGGATATTTTGGTTTTATTTAAACAGTAGAGTTAACAATGTTGAATAGTTGAATATTTTCTAAGTAGACAAATTTGGAAAAATAATGTTCTATTTGAATAATTCAGCTGACAAAAATCCGAGATGAAAAAGATAGGATGACAACAATCATAATGCACTGGTTTTTGAATCATTATTAAGTGCCAGACACTGTCTAGCTCTTTTGATGCATGCCTCGTTTTCCTTTCTGTGAAGTATTTACAAAAGTATAAACTAAGACTCAGGGAGGCTCAATTTCCTCAGCTGATCAATACCACGGTCTGAGTTCAAAAGTGGGTCTTTGGGACCCCAAGCCCATGTTCTTTAACCATTGAGCCACAATGCTTCCCTGGAAATCAAGAAGTTATGAAAGTTTCTTTTAGAGTCTTTCTATGCTAAATGCATAATTAATACAACTAACCTGAACCCAACCTAAACTCTCATTCCCTAAATGATTAGAAAGATTACCTCTTGGAGCTGAAGATTTACAAAGCAGAAAATAGCCAAACCATGACTAATGTATCACCTATATGAGACAGATTTATCAGGAGATTCTTTTTACTTTATTTTTTATTATGCCTCCAAAGGCAGTGCTAGAACATACAATCTCCTCAGTTTCACGAACAGAGAGGGAATTCAAAGAATCTCAAGGTGACCCAGGTGGGTGGCCCTGGAAGTGACTTGCTCAGCTTGGATGAGGAGCTCATCTCTAGACAAGCCCCTGCGGCCAGGAAGATGGCTTCAGGGGAGAAGACACCTATTCAAACCACAGGTTTATGTGGGAAGTGGAAGGAAGGGAGGGGGCGGTGGGAGGGTCAGGGAGAGTCCTCAGAAGAGACGGGCTGCTGGGCAGACAAGTCAATGGACGCCCACCTCAGATGTCATGCTCAATAATCCCCCCACTCCCCAAGATATACAAATAGTCATGCCTCTCTTCTTCTACTACTCATATGGTTTTATATTTTACATTAAAATTTTTAATCCATCTGGAATTTATTTTGATGTAAATATAAAGTATACATCTAATGTATTATGCCTTCCAAATTGGTATCTAAATGCCCCAATGTACTATCATGCCACAACTTAGGAAATAAGACCTGTGGCAATTACACATATTTTCTTCCTTATTTGTATTTTATTTTATATTTATATGTGTATTTATATATTTCTATATACTCATTAATTCCTTTTTCCTCTCTCTGTTTCCCTTTTTTCTTTTCAAATTAAACTTAAGTAATTATTAAAAGAAAAATATTTCTACTAGTACAGGTGATGTTTTTGTGTGAACTTGAATCTGAGATGAAGTAAGGGTCGGAGCTGCTGCAACCCCTTTGCCACTGAAAGGGGAGAGCGTGGAACTGCTAGAGGCCATGACCAGACACCAAATCTGCAGGTGCTTGATCATGGACTTCCCAGGCTTCAGAACTGTGAGAGATAAATTTCTGTTGTTTATAAGTCACTCAGTCTATGGTAGTTTATTATAGCAGTCAGAACAGACTAAGACACTAGGCATTTTTTTTTTTAACTTTTGACTCCCCTTTAGCCCATTTTTTCTACCTTCTATCCTTACCTCAGGCAACTGCCAGTCTATTCTTCATATCTATGAGCTTCATTTTTTTGTGGATTTTTTGTTTGTTTGTTTTTAGAGTTTTTTTTTTAGATTTTACATATAAAAGAGATTTACAAGAATCAAGGAAAT